TATTTACTGGACAAATAAAATGCCAATTAAAAATGAGATTATCAACAGATGACCAATCTCGACTATGTCTAGAAGAGTGAGACAGCAAAACAAATCCAATTCCTATTGCAGAATTGGCAAAAAGAAGAAAAAAGGCATTCCTGTGAAGACCCAAGGTACCATATCTGGGAAAAAAAATTATATCAAATAGTAACAAATCGTGTTGCTATTATTTAAATTTAGAATTTGATGTATGACTCAACAAATGTCTCCAAAATCAGAGTTTTTCCAATCGTGAATAATTATATTACCTTTTTTAAACCAGTCAATTATTTATTGCTTAAATAATTAGGTAGTAAAACAAGCTTATGTTTCTTTCGGAGGGTAGTTGACGTGGAAGGCGATCGTTAACATCAGACAGGAGAATTTGAAAACGTCCAATCTATTTTTAAATAGGATTGTGTAATTAATGATTGTTTAGAGTTCGTGAGATGCGGTCTGATGTGATGTAGGATTAGAAAAACGATCTTCTTTATCGTGCCAACGTTTCGATCTTCATTGAGATCATCTTCAGAGCCTGGGAGATCTCTAAATAATCTTTAAGTAGGCTGGTGAACCTTGATGAAACGTTGAAATAAACTAACTATTATATTTTAGTAAAATTTACCGAACGCATTTTGTTTGCCATATTTGGATAGTTTCACCATTTCACCATTTTTGGCTTTACTTTACCTTTTACGAAGCACAAAGCAAGCCAAAAATGGAAACAAAACTATGCTGACTGAAGTCCGAATTAGATGAAAACATTTGTGAGAATATTTTGTTGGGTGGGCCATAATTTTTTCCCCTGTGCAATTTAACAAGCTTCTCGTTCCAACGTATTAAGTTTTTTGCTTAAATATTGCACGTAGATAGAAATGATGAAGGTAGGATGAGGATGTAGATTCACTTTTTGTAAATTATGATTCTATTGACAGATTTCAAAAATCTTAGTCGTGTAAGGTTCAACTAGTAAAACTAATAAAATATTTAAGCAAAAATTCCAATAGGGTAAAACCACAGTTATGATAAGTTTCTGGCCGTGAAGATATTCGTAATGCGATTTTTTTTTTGAGATATAAATTATCATCTAGGAGTTAAGGTCCCAAAAAGCATTTTCTGTCTGAAATTCGAATCACAGGTAAGACAGTGTAGTGTATTTCAAAGCGAAGCAACTTCTCATTTTGCCATAAAAATGCTTTGTATAATTTTTCATAATTGCTTAGAAAACTGTACCGTCTTGATAAATATTGATTTCCTGCCTTGAAACATCATGGCATAGTTTTTATTTTATTTTTACAAGGGTATTACCACTTCGAGGTTATATGAAAAAAAAGCCCATTTGTAAAAGTATGTCTGGTTCGAATCCAGCTGCAGCTGGATTCGAACCCGTGACCTTTACCTTACAACGATGAGCGTCAACGCCTAAATCTTTGCCGCCACCGACGCTCACTTGTGATTTTTATTAAATCGTCAAATAATCTTAATGTAATGACCCTGCATAAAGATGGACAATAAACAATAATTGTGAAGGAAAAAAAAATCATTGCTTAAGATGGCATAAGATTCTACTTCAGCACATGTCATACTCCAATGCATCATAAAATTGACACCTAGGTATCTTCTTCTAGGAGAGGATTCCATCATCATTCCACAAACACGCATCATCAGACTGTAGACGAGCTACAGAAAATTCAGTTTTAAATCATGATGAAAATAAGATGCGATAAAATCGGAAAGACTGCAATCTACCAGTTGGTGCAAATTGTATGTGGAAGGAGGAAACAAATAAACAGGAATAAATTAAAAGAAATTAGAATAGAATTGAATTAAATAGTTGAAAAAGCATCCGATCATTAAACCAAATGTAAATACAAGATTTTTTACGAATTGTTGCTATTTTCAATAGAAGACGAATATAACAGCAAATTTTTACAAAATTAGTAAAGATTAATTTCAACTTCGTCAATAGGGCAATTCTTTAAACTTTAGCCAGAAGGTAAGATTTTCACTAACGCATAAAAAATCTTAATCTAGAGACACAGCATTAGATGCACCATAAAAAGTGATTATGAAAAAAACATATCATGGCATAAGATTGTAGAAATCTACTTCCGCATATGAAGTACTCTAAAGATCACAAAATTTACACCTAGATTTATTCTTCTAGGAGAGGATTACATCTATCATTTCAATCATCATCATTTCACGGCCAAAATAAGTACAATTTAAACCTTCAGGGGGGTGTAGGCGGCCGCAATGGTTAGGCGTTGATACTGCGCTCATCACTGTAAGGTAAAGGTCCCGGGTTCGAATCCAGTGGCCCTGCATTCGAATCCGACATACTTACAAATGGGCTTTTTTTCAAAAACACCAGCACCCCGAGGGTTGATATAACCTCTCCTGTTTCGAACCTTCTTAAAGAAAAAAACCTTCATTAAGATGCAGAATAAAGGACGATTTTGAAAAAAAAAGATGCCCTAAGATGACAGAAAATTCTATTTCAACATATGTTACACTCCAAAGCACCATAAAATTTTCACCTAGGTATCTCCTGCTATGGTAGGATTTAAGCATCATTCCACAATCATCAGACCGTAGACGAACTATAGAAAATTAAGGAAGCAGGAAATATATTAAACAGGAATAAATTAAAAGAAATTACAATTTGATTAAAAAAACAAAAAACAAATTAATTTAAATAATAATTGGAATCATCAGCAAATAAATGATTTGTTATGCTATTTTAATAAACTTTCAACTTGAGTTAAATTTCTGTGATGGATGCACGTTTGACGTACATGCCTTGATTTAGGGTCGTACTCTTTAATAGTAAAGTCAGTTGTAATCTATAATGAAGCACGCTCTGGTTGCAGGTAGCGCAAAATAGATGTAGTGCGTCTAGGTGTTTTTTCTTTGTTGAAGAAGGGGAAATTTTAGTTCAGCATTCGTCACAGTCCAAAGCATCATAAAACTTTTACGCGTATATAGATAGAATAGGATTTCAGCATCATTCCACAACCACGCAATTAATCATCAGACCATAGACTAGCTATAGAAAATTAAGTTTTAAACGAAAATACGAAAATAGGATGCGGTAAAAGTCGGCGTCTACAAATTTGCTATTAATTAGTAATTAAACTGTGTACATGTATATATTTACGCAGGGTGGGCGACCAAGACCCGAGGGGTTAAATGCCTGGATAGACTCGTACCCCATCCCTAAAGGTTCCGGGACTTGGTCGGCTCACGTGTCCTGCATAAACCTCTTGGACCGGTTCACAAACCCCAAGATTTTGGACCATTTAATCCCGGGGAGTGATTTGGTGATGTCCGCTCTTTCAAAGATTTCAAATCTGGACCTAGCATACCTATCACACTCGGCGAGGTGCCTTGCCGTTTCTTCTTTTATTTCGCAAAAACGGCAAAAGGGATCTGGTAGAATACCCATTACGGAGAGGTATCTTCTCAGTGGGCAGTGGCCCGTCAAAATACCCATCAGCTTCCTAATTCCCTTCCTTGAGATAGAAAATGGCCATTTCGATTCTGCTGGTTTGATCACCTTAACAAACTCTTTCGATTGCCTGTGTCCGGGGGATAGATTCCACTCCTTAAGGAATTGTTTCACGCCCCGGTTATTAAAGCTCTCAAACTGTGTACATGGAAGCAGGGAACAGAATAAACAGGATTAAATTAAACGAAAATAGAATAATTTAATGAAATCATTAAAAAAGCGCCCTATCACTTGCTACTTTGAATAGAAGACGAGAATAACAGCAGATTTTTACAAACTTAGTAAAGATTAATTCCAACTTCTTCAATAGAGCAATTCATTAAACTTCAGCAAGTAGATTAGGCTGATTGTCTTTACCGCGTCAAAAAAATCTTAATTTAGTGACCCTGCATTAAATGCACAAAAACAGTTTTATTAAATCGTACAATAAACAATAATTAAAAGAAAAAAAAATCATGGCCTAAGAGGGCAGAAAATTCTATTTCAGCATATGTCACGCTCCAAAGTATCACAAAATTTTCACCTAGATATTTTCTACCCGGCGATTCCATCATCATTTCACAACCAAATCAAAAACAAACTAAACCCTACATTAACACGTACAATAAACAGTGATTAAAAAAAAAAACGGCCTAAGATGGCAGAAAATTCTATTTCAGCATATGCCACGCTCCAAAGCATCACAAAATTTTTACCTAGATATTTTCTACCCGGCGATTCCATCATCATTTCACAACTAAATCAAAAACAAACTAAACCCTACATTAAGACGTATCATCAGACCGTAGACGCGCTATAGAAAATTCAGTTTTAAATCATGAGCAGACGAAAGTAAGATGCGATAAAATCGGAAAGACTGAAAATCCACCGTTAATGAGTTGGTGCACAATTGTGTATGAAGGGAAGAAACAAATAAACAGGAATAAATTCAAAGAAGCTTCCAATTCCCAAAACTAATAGATTATTTGTTACGCTATTTTGAATAGACTTTTTTTTACAAATTTAATAACTTCGTATTCTACATCAGCGTATGTCACACCATAGCATCACGAAATTTTCACCTAGGTATCTTCTACTAGGTGCGGATTAGCATCATTCCACAATCATCAGACCGTAGACGAGCTATAGAAAATTAAGGAAGCAGGAAATGTATTAAACAGGAATAAATTAAAAGAAATTAGAATAGAATTGATTCAAATAATTGGAAAAGTTCGTTATCAACACCAAATACATGATTTGTTATGCTATTTTAATAAATTTTCAACTTGAGTTAAATTTCTGTGATGGATGCACGGTTGACGTTCATGCCTCGATTTAGGGTCGTCCTCTTTAATAGTAAAGTCAGTTGTAATCTATAATGAAGCACGCTCTGGTTGCAGGTAGCGCAAAATAGATGTAGTGCGTCTAGGTTTTTTTCTTTGTTGAAGAAGGGAATCTATTGATTGTCGAAGGTGTAACTTTAGAAGGGGGCAACTGTTGCGGGTGAGCGGAGGACAGGCAGTCGGTCTGCAAGGCGGAAACGAAGTCCTAACGAGACGAGAAAGTGCTGCTGGCGAACGAACCAGGACGGACCCGGCCGACAAGTGCCGAGCCTCCTCGTTGCTTTGTAAGTCGTTAGCAGTAGGTGAGTCGAGACTCGAGCTGTGAGACGCTTCTGCCTGGTCGACTGTCAAACTGGGTTGGTCGTCGTCATCCCTCTCTCTCTCGACCTTTGTGAACCAGTGCATCGCAACTCTCGTCAGCTGAGGTTTTCTACACGAAGCCGCCTTCCGTCGATCCACCTCCGATAACCGTCCCCTCGTAAGTCCGATCTTCCGAATGCCGACCCTGATCAGGTGAAGCCGTGGCACAGCATGTCGGCCGCCGTCTGCAGGCTCTGCCTCAACACCAACGAGGTCCTTCCGATTTTCGACGAGGACGGCAACCAGAACGACGACGTTTCGCAGAAAATATTCGATTGTGTCGCCATTCAGGTGAGTTCCGCTTTTGTGCAGGTCGTCCTTTATTCAGGTTTTTTTACTCTTGGGGAGAGGGGATTCCGTTTTAGAATGTAGGAAACGTGCTTTATTACTTTCTGAGGCTTGTTCGATCCGAAACTATCGCCGGAAATAGCCCATCGGCTATGACTGGCATCACCTCGCCCTAGACCCAACCTCGTAGTACCACCCGACTCAGCTATCCTCCATTACTTTTTCACATGCCTTCACCCATTACGAGGCCGTTTTTACTTTAAACTTTACCTCAGCGATTAAAAATGAAGTAACCTAATGATTATATCGGTTAGACCTATTTGGGCATGCTTTACGATGACCTCTACTTTTGGTTAGGCTCTAACCAATTATCAATTAATCAAGACCAAAACCACCCAGGTTTTGACGATTCCACCTATATGTGATGCGGAATCGATCATAGCGACGATCTTTTCCCTTCAGGTCTAAATTATTTGGACCAATGATATGATATACGTCTGTAATTCAACCGAGTACTTTTACGCCTGGTAGCCATCGGCGCAACGAACTCGTTCTCTGTGATGGCGTTCTACCGACATTGCATTGCGCTAGTTGGTCAATCAATGATGGTTGACCTTTCGTCAATCCAAATATCCAAGATTTCTTGTGAGTCTTCAACAAAGAAAATTGTTAACAGAATGCCCCAGAAAAGAATATTGTTGCCTATGGCTCTATCGTCCTTGTTGAATGACGGTGCTTTACGACCTTGTTTCGTAATGAACAATTATCTACTACCTCAAAAATTGCATTCTCACTATTAAAAAAAACACCTATGCTTTAAAATCCGTCCCTTTCAAAGTACCAGCCTCAGACCAAACCCACTAACATTTCTAGTATAGTGCTTTGTACTCAAATGGGGTTTAGTTTATCTATATTCGCAAATAAAAATAACTCAGCATGTGACAATGGACAAAAGTTTATTTAAAAATTGTAGGTGTTTATCCTTGAAGCCTGCGAGGTGAACATGCACTTTTGTCTTTTCCGAACCCAAAGGCTATTCTCACATCGCTGACATGGTGATTGTTCAAACACATCCAATAGAACTAAATATCACATATGATGAATACACTATACAATACTAACACACTACAATAAAACAATAAAATAAGTCTGTTGTTTGATAGTTAACATACACTGATGGATTGCAAAATGCCGAAGTACATCTAACCGACAAAAATCAACAAGATGATAGGTAAATGCTTGGGTACCTGACCTGTTTGGACTGTAAATAATTAAAATAAAAAAGTATTGAACAATAGGTCTATCACCCCTTAGATCACAAGAGGAAATCTTACAATAAAATAAGTTAACGATGATCATTGGGAGATTCAAAATGAGAAGCGAGCTTCATTGTTCACATCTAATTATTATAGAATAGTAAATTGACATCGTAAATTATAATAGACCTGCTCTAAAATAACAATGTTAAATATATCGCACACCCACAAGAAAAGTGACACAACTAAAAAAAAAGGATATTTTACAGGAGAGATAGATGGAAGTATATTTTTTTTACTTATTTATTAAGTACTCGCCATTACAGTCGAAACTGTCTCGATCCATCTATATTGTCTTTCATTTGACCAAGGCTTAAGGGAAAATCAAAGTTTTAAAATTCCAGCTGTACTGTCCCTAAAAACTACCCCTTTTTGTGTTGTGTCATTTTTCTTGCATGTATTGACTCGGTATTTTAAGTTAGGTCATTAACGATAATGTTGGTGAATGACTATAAACGTATAAATTACTTTTGATAGTAGCAGACAACATACAAACCTAACAAACGAGAATAAATATCCATGTAGTAAGTTTTACTAAGGTTATTTTTGACTCAAATGAGCTTTCCTCCTGGAGTCAAGGCTATAGTTATTTAAAACAGAAAATTAATTATTGAAATAAAGGTTTTGTCGATTATTAAAAATGATTAAAACATTAAAAAATCGTCAAAACTAGAAAATAATGTAAAAGTTAGTCAATGTTGTTAAAAAATTATGAAAAAACTCGGGGTTTCTTTTGCTTTTTTTCTGCTTAGTGAATTTCTTAAATGTTTATGGCTAAGGTTAGTTGCATTAAAAAGCAGCTAAGTCGCACTTATTAAGCGTTTAGGATAAAGAAACGCCAACATTTCGACACAAAAGTAAATAACTAGCTACCACGGGATTTCTTTAGCTTTTTTCTCCATTTGGTAAATTTCTTAAGCATAAAGGTTACACCAACTTTCGTTATCAAACAAGATACATAATAAATTCGCTAAATCTCTCATCGTAGGGAAACTTTTTAATTTACCATTGAAATTTGTTATAAGATTTTATTGACTTCTCTAAAAATTTTGTTTACAGAGCTTAATAACTCAGTTATTCCTTGCGGAAAGCCGAGGTGCATTTGCTTCAAGTTTCAAGTGCTTTAACACCCGAAAATAATAGAAATGGTGCTGAATAAAAAATTTTATGTTGGTTACAAGTAGTATACTTTATGATTATTTTCTATAATACGTAAATCATGTATGCTGCTACAGGCATTAAAAGTTAGTTAATAAAGTATAGTATTATATAAAATATGAGGCAGGCCTTTATACTTACAGATGAGTAAATTTGTCATAAAGTTTAATAGTGTCTGTTACTGCTTTTAGATGTGAGGCTAGAGGGTTATTAGCAGTAACAGACACTATTAAACTTATTATAGAATTTACTTAAAGTAAATACTTAACTAAAAATATTATAATATTTTAACTTAAAATAGATTCATGTAAATGCTTTTTCCCCTAAATTAGTACTATATTATTATACCTATTAAACGCTAAAAGCTAACAATATTATAATCAAGAAAATTTTTAAATAAAAGAAATGAAACTAAAATAATTCAAGAACAATAGATCAAGACGTCTTGGAGAAAAAAGCAAATTCAGTTGTTCCCGTCAAGCTTTCGACCTATTTTAAGGTCATCAGGGCCTGTATTAATTTCAAATTATGAAAGACATTTGTACAATTGATTTAACAATTTTTTTCCTAATGTAAAAAATGTGACTCCAATACAACATAAAATCCTTCACTGAAAAAGAAAAACTGACGTAACTTGAAATGTGCCACTTTTCAATCCACTCACATCGATGCTTTAAAGCTCAACACAGAACAAAGATGTTACTTTTCGTGAATGGTGACTACGTTACTGCCAATTCAAAAGTGACGCAGCCTAGTAGCTAAGAGTCCCACCTACAGTTGCATCATTTTTCCTTAGCATCACACACCCGAATACTTTTTAAAAACTAAATTCTGGTTTTTAGAATTTTTCGACTTGTGTCATGATGTGGGATATGTATATATTTTAATCTAAGGTTCGAATCCCATGCTCTTTCATGACCAAGACCTTCGATAAAAAGTATAACTATGAAAAATAATATGGTCTATTATGACTACTAAATACATACATGGATTAATATAGTATTTCATTACATTGAATAATGTTCTACTGCTTCTTGTGTATGTCAAAATAAGTAGGGACACTTCTTATTCTATATGTTAGTGGTTCATCATGAGTTTTAAAGGATCCATAACCATTTTTCTATGACCTTTGACAGCACTGATTACTTATACGCTAATATGGTTGATTCTTTGCTTATTTTAAAAATTAAGGTTTTATATGTTTTATTGAGAGGCAAAATAATGAATTGTCCCTGAATTATCATTAAAAATTGTCAAGATTTGTAATGTAAGGCCAAGTTATGTATTAGCAATCTTTCTGAAAGTTGTGTGTTGACTGTTGCTTTTATACCAAATACAAACCATAGGTATTTTGGAGTACATCTATCCAGAAACTCGATTCTTGGATGGATGACCCTATAATTGAACCAATATGTTCACTCTGGATTCTGCCATAGGGATATGAGTCAGTTGTTTTACCAATCGTGTGACCACCCAGTCAGGCTCTCGGGTCAGATGGTAAACAATTCCGAAGTGAACATGTTAAGGACTTGTTTGAACCAATATTTCATAAGAGAGCTTCTTTGGCCTTATATCAATAATTATGAAATCAAGATTGCCATATTCTCCTTTGCAATTTTTTGTGACCTAGGCTAGTGTCATACGAGGCAGTTTGAGTTTAGCCGAGTTGCCTGGTTGACTCACAACTAGTTAGAAGACTTGTCTCATTTCCCACCAGCCAACTTGTGGAATTGACTCAGCAGTTCAGTACAATGTTAGAACCAGAGGGTGCAGGAGCACTTCTCGCACTTGCTGTTCTGCTTGTTTGACAAGCTTCATGATGTTGAAATCGGGATAACATTCTCGTGCCATCTCTTTTCAACTTCACTCCTTTTAATTTTATTACACCTCATGTCGCATTTCAAGATTATCTTCCGAATTCTTCAGTAAATTCCCTCAATGAAATTTGAAGTAGAAACGCATTCCATAGTGAATTCAGACTCACCTAGAAGACTAGTGTCTTTTGATTTGAGTCCACCAGTGGGAATGAGCTAACGGCATTTGTGCCTGCAGGCCACCCACCTCGGCTGATGAGTCAACTCAGTTTGAAGTGGTTCTGACAGTTCAAAGTTGATATAACCTTTCATTGCATAATTTGATCCTATTGTAACAACATATTTTCCTTCCTACCTATTGTAACAGTTTAGAAGCACTTCTTAATTCTTACAATTTTACATGTACATCTGTATTTGCAAACTTATATACAATTTTTTTCAATTAATCTTTATGTAAGGTATTGGTTGAGATAAAAAAGTTAGGGACACGAGCAGGATTTGAACCCACGACCTTTGGCTAAATTCGCCGCTGCTCTACCACTTGAGCTATCGTGACTTCGATCCATTTAGACATTAACTTTCCACCTCAACCCACCTTTCGAATTTTCCCTCTTTTTTGTCATTTTTCAATGAAAATTCTCTCTGAACCAATACCTTACATAAAGATTAATTAATTTAAAAAAATCAGACCACGAACTCTAATGGACTTATATACAATATTGATCACTGAATGGATTAAACCAAATCTGCAGACAGCAAATATTTTTAAAACAAATTAATTATTATTTTGATTGAAGTAATTTAAATAAACCTTACAATATTCAATTATTTATTATTTGGTTTTGTGTATTATTGAATTATAATTTTCATTATTAGTATTTACAAAAACAATTTTATTTCTTGAACTGAATTTGCATCACAGTCTTGATTGTTAATTTTTTTAAAAAATTTATTTCAGGTTTCCAAGGACAACGTCCTACCAACTGTAATATGCGCAGACTGCTTAGGAAGTGTGAATACCTGGTATCTCTTCAAGCAGAAATGCCACCAAACACAAGCCCAACTTCTCTCTATGTTCAAAAAAGAGCTCGGTGAAGACTTGAGCCATGAAAACGTGAGAGTGAACGGCAATGCAAGCCCTGCCGGCAAACGTCCAACTGAAGTCGTTTACCTTTCGGATACCGATGATGAGTGCGACGCTGACAACGATGTCACTTGCCTCTCACCGGCGGCTGTTTCAATTATCAGTCTGAACGATGATGAGGCTTCTTTTCAAGGGGTGGAAGATGCCGAGAAAGTTAATAAAATCCCTGAAAAAGCAAAAGAAAACGATGAAAATGATCAGGCCGAATTGGTAAATTCAAAAAATTCCGTTGATCGCCAGCCAGTCGAGTCCGGTCATTCAAATGATTCTAATGTTGACAAGGATAATCGTATAAATAGCAATGCAACCGAGGAAATGGTCGTCAAAACTATGGGTGATGAACAAAGCCTTGTCAACGGTCAAGACCCAAGTTGTGTCGATGTAAGAAAAAAAGACAATATGCATGATGTGCTGGTTGATCCAGATGAAAAGACTGAAATGTCCGATACCTCCATTGAACCAAATATTGACGATATTGTTTCTGATATGCTTGAGTTAAACAGAAAAAGCATGAGAGAAGAAAAGGGCAATAATTGTTATTCTGATAGCAAAGGTGACTCTCCAACAGAAAAAGAAGATAGTGCAGAGCCCATGGAGACAGAAGAAATTTCATCTTCTGTTGAGATGAATAAAATCCAGAAAGACTCTGAAACATCCGATAAGTCCGAAGAGCTAATCAGTGAGGATAAAAGTGATGAAAATGCTAAAGATACAAATGAATCCAATGTCACTTCTACAATCCAAAGCTCGAATTTACAAAACACTGATCGGTCTAATAGTGTTGACCTTGCAAATCAACAGAAAGAATTTCAGAACCTTTCGATGATACGCATTGAATCTACAGTATCCATATCTTATGACGCCTTTGACGATTCAGAGAAACGTGGTGAAATCACTGAGAATTCAGATAAACAGAATACCCAATCATGTGCCAAAGATAATAGCGAAGAACAATCAAATGTGAATCCATCAGTAGAAGAAACTCCGCTGGTATCGACTAGCGAACAAGAAACTGAGGATGCATTCGATGAGGGTCATGCCGATGAAAGCGTTTCGGTTATATCAGATGAAAGCACAACAGCAGAGATAAACCCCCAAGACAAACAAGCACCAGACTCGACTGTCATAACTCCTGAAAACACTACAATTGATCTGCCAGTGCCTGTAAGTAATTTTTTGCCAGATGCATGCAATATTTTAAAACTAAATTCTATAATATTAAGAAATAATTATCGTAGAATTGTCGGCAGTGAACCATTCTGCTTATTCTTTTTTTGATATATTAGTGCAAGAATTGATGCAAAGAATTTGACAAGGACTAATCAAGCAACACAATATTTTAATGATAATTTGGAGATCGTGAGATGCGGTCTGGTGTGACGTAGATTTAGAAAAACATTGAACTTTACTTTGATTGAATCTAAAATTTCTATCATAGTATAAATTCATCTTTTAACATCTTACATGTATTTGTATAATTTAAACAATCAATTAATTAAGGTTTTTAAGTTGGGATAAAAAAGTCAGTGTCACGAGCGGGATTCAAACCCACGACATTCGGCTTGATAGCGGCTACTCTACCACTTGAGCTATCGTGACTTTGATCCCCTCAGGCACCAACTTCCCATCTCAACCCCACCTTTTGAATTTTCCCTCCTTTTTGCCTTTTTTATCTCAACTTAAAAACCTTAATTAATTGAATGTTATTAATTGGTCAAGCGGACCACAAAAAATAGTGAATTTAATTTAAACAATGTTTATAAATCCCAGGCTCTGAAGATGATCTCAATAAAGATCGAAACGTTGGCATGATAAAAACAATGTTTTTCTAAACCTACGTCACACCAGACCTCATCTCACGATCAAAAATTAATCATTAATTAATGGTCAGTAAAAACCACTCAATATTTTAATTTTTTTTTTGGGGGGGGTCATCTTTTTTTCCACAGGTGACCTATATAAATTTATTGTGGAATGCCGAGGCCATACGGTTGGAAAGTGTCCTTTTCAATCCTTTTTAAAAAAGATGGTTCCTACTCACATTAAGCTTAATTTTTTTTTAAAAAGGATTGAACTCCACACTCACCCCATCATTTATAATTTCTAGTGTCCTTTTCTGTTCTCTTTCCGCTTTTCCCCTCTTCTTTAGGTGGTAGTTAACAAGTGTGTAACTTCAAATCTTACTTGCCAAGAGGTGTTCTTCCTTAGCTGTAGTTATTTATTTCTCCACCAGTTTGTTCAATTCCGCTTTTAGCACAATTTGTGGTTGTGGTTAAAAGTGAGTGAGGGCTGCTCCTACTTTTCTACTTCGTCAGCCAGTTCATTGCCTTCAACCCCTTTGTTCTCTGGCACCCAAGCAGAGCTTGCGTAATCTTGTTTTCCCATGAGTTAAAGATATGTTAGGCCTGACCATTTTTGAATTATACCACGTCCCCACACAAAGGATATGTGCAGTGTCTCGGTTTCCTCCTGACAGTAGGTATGTTTCTGTTTGTTTTGCCTATCATCTTTAGGTGGTGGTTTCGAGTCACAGAACTTTCCTCAAATCTTACCTACTGTCTTAGTTGCCAAGCACTCAACCTGGTGCTTTTGTCCAATACTTGAGTTTTTATTTCTCGTGTCCTTTTCCAGCTCCACTTTAGCGCATCTATGTGCACCTAGTTGTGGTTCTAGTCCCATGGTTTAGAGGTTATTTGGCTTGTTGCTAAGCTTGTTCATTTCCTCCATACCTTGGTGTCCGGGAACCCACTTTAAATTAGTCTTTGTTGTGTTTTCTTATGGCCATTAAGCAATTTAGGTATTTCAGTTTGAAGCTAAAATCATATCAATTTATTTTATGCATCTGGTAAAATGCCTGATTGCAACTTCTTCTTTATTAACTACCATGCACCGAGTTGGATCGCATGGACTCTTGGTTCATTGGTCTTTGTGGTGTTTTCCTATGGCCATTAAGCAATTTAGGCATTCCAGTTTGAAGCTAAAATCATATCAATTTATTTTATGCAACTGGTAAAATGCCTGATTGCAACTTCTTCTTTATTAACTACCATGCACCGAGTTGGATCGCATGGACTCTCGGTTCATTGGTCTTTGTGATGTTTTCCTATGGCCATTAAGCAATTTAGGCATTCCAGTTTGAAGCTAAAATCATATCAATTTATTTTATGCATCTGGTAAAATGCCTGACTGCAACTTCTTCTTTATTAACTACCATGCACCGAGTTGGATCGCATGGACTCTTGGTTCATAGTTGGAACCAATCCAATGGGTGTAGCTTTGGTGTACACGTACTTTCTGCTCTTTGATCCATTAGTATACTATATTAGGACCATTCTTGAAACTTTTCGCTACCTATCTTCTATAAGGTGTTTGTTATCTACGTCTACTTAGGTCTGTCGATGTTGAGTTTTCCTCTTGTTTCATCAGAGAACATTATGGCTATCTCATTTTTTCTTTTTCTTCACTACAATTTTCTGATGACTTCTTAGTAATTTTATTTTCTCATACCCCAGTACTTTGATAGATGCCTTTTGTACATGAATATGTAAGGGTGGGAGTCGGAGTATGGTTTCTATCATTAAGGACAAGTATGCATTGCCCCTTTTAGATTGAAACATGCTAGTTTTGTTGACCTTGGTAGTCATTGGTTCTGGAAGTGTTTTTTGGTCACCTTATGTGACCTGGGGTCTGACCAGGGCAGTGTTTTGATAATGTCCTGGGGTTTATTTCTCACTTTTTGTTGCCTAATCTCTGCCATATGGGGAATGTTGCCTAAATTCTCCAATTCTGCTCTTGGTCAGTTTTTTTTTTTTTTTTTTGAGGGGCTTTATGATTTAGCCTCCTTCTTGTGAAGTATATGATAAATGTTTTCTTAAGGATGAAATTTAGACCCATTTTCTCACACTATCTTTCTACAAATTTTAGTATTTTGCATCTTTGCATTTTTAAACTTAATTTACAAATAAAATTTAAGTAACATTGCTGTATCTATCTACAAACTTGCTACTGTCCCCTTTGGTCCCCCCTCAAAAAAAAAAAAAAAAAAAAAAATTTTTAAATTAGAATAGTAAAAGTGAATGATTGTGAAGAATCCGCACACGAAAATGTATGTTAACATTGGAAATGTTTTTAAAATTTTTTAAGTTTAAATTTTGAAGCTAATGCTAAAAAAGACCTGTTGAATTTTTTTCTAGATTGAGTAATTCTTGAGCAAAATCTAGAGATCACTAGTTAGTTGACACCTCCCTGTATGCACCTCAAGACAAAAAAGTTACATAACGGTTCTGTTGTCCGGAAAGAGCAATAAAATGTTCGTCTCTAGCTGCCGTACATTGCTGTCAACCACTACCTTCTCTTTGATCGAGATTTCCCGTAGCCCAACACAACTCCTTGGCAAGATCTTGTTGACTTAAAATTTTGTTTTAAAAACATTTTTTTAGTCAGTTTTGTTTCACTAAAGAAAACCAAAAACCTACTAACTTACTCGATAAGTTGGTTCTGAAAATGTTGAAATTGAACTGATTTTCTTTATTTTTAATCTAAAGAGTGTGACTAATAAACACTCTATAAGGTAAACAACAAGTTATTAATGCTGTGTTTACAAGTCAACTATTAATCAGCAATCTTTCCTTATTTAAATTGCGATTTTGGGCATTGCAGTTATTACCCCGCAATTTGTATTTTTTTTTTTCATTTTTCCGCTCTGGTAGCCTCAAAATTTTCTGAAAAAAGAAATCTTGCAACTTGAACATATTGAAAACTCGCATTCAAACACTGTCAGACAAACATTCAAAAGTATAAGAATTTGGGAAAAGGCCTAAATCTATTACAAATCCCAATTTAAGAAAAGTCCTCTCTGAAAAAAACACTGGGGACCTAGAAACTCCTTTAAATCACTAGAAAGTTTGAACCTTGCCCAATGGGTTGCATAATGCGACAGTTGACCAAAATATGTTTTACAGCCAGACTGATATGTTCTCATGAATAAAGGACAAGTTGGAAGGTTGCTTATTAAAAGCCTTTTATGGATTAGTCTGATGTGACTTTTTCGCAACCTAGAGAGAATCATAAGTTCTTTTCTTTCAAGTTCCTCAGTTATATCTAATTATAACGGACAATAAACAAATGAATACAAGTGTCCAGCTTTTTGTCTTTGAGTGTATATATATTTTATTTATTTTTATTAAATTCACTATTTTTCATGGTCCACTTGATCAATTAATATCATTCAATTAATTAAGGTTTTTAGTTGAGATAAAAAAGTCAGTGTCATGAGGGGGATTCGAACCCACGACCTTCAGCTAGATACGCCGTTGCTCTACCACTTGAGCTATCGTGACCTCAATCCACTCGGACACTAACTTCCCATCTCAACCCCACCTTTTGAGTTTTCCCTCCTTTTTGCCATTTTTCAAATGTCGTATAATCGGATTGGATTCTCGACGACAAATGAAATGGCCACGGAGAGCTTTAGTGAAGTATACTTCATTTTATTTCATTAAATTCACTAATTCTGTGGTCGGCTTGACCAATTAATTTATTACAATTAATTAAGGTTTTTAGTTGAGATAAAAAAGTCAATGGCGTGAGCGGGATTCGAACCCACGATCTTCGGCTAGATACGCCGCTGCTCTACCATTGAACTATTGTGGCTTCGATCCACTGGGACACTAATTTCCCATCTCAACCTCACCTTTTGAATTTTCCCTCCTTTTTGTCATTTTTCAAATGTGTAATCTATTTGATTCTCGGCGACAAATGAAATGGCCACAGAGAGCTTTAGTGAAGGTATACGGCGTATCTAGCCAAAGATCGCGGGTTCGAATCCTCCTCGTGACACTGACTTTTTTATCTCATCTAAAAATCTTAATTTATTTCTATTGTTTTTATTTTAGTTTTCATTTTCATTTCATTCATCTGTAGTCATTTAAGGAAAGATAAAATGAAGTTTTATTATGTATTATTAATTTTATTTTTAAAATGAACATACAAGCACAAAACCACGCTTTTTTCTTTTCTTTTCATTATCTGTTCATAATTCTGAAACGCATCTAATATACCAACTCACAGAGGATAGGCAGGCCTAAATTGTCATTAATGGTCAAATTACAAATTCTTATCCCACAGACCACCACATGGAACAATCACACAATTAGAAATATTTTACTCTAATTTCTCTGAAGTGTATAATAAAATAATATATTTTGTTATAGGCCGCATGCATTAAACAAGAGCCGGTTGATCCAGAATATGCTGCTGCCGAAGAATTCAGATCTGTTCAAATAAAGAGTGAGCCTATTTCAGGTGACGAGCAAGAAACCAATGCTGACAGTGAAGGTGTCCAAGACCAAGTCGACGATCCCAACCTTGATATGGGAAATAAAAGTTGTTTGATTTGCAAGTACAGATTCACAACGTGCCAGAGTCTAATTAGACACGGTAAAACAAAAGCTCACCAGGCCATGTTATTATCAGGAATCAAACGTGAAGGGAATATCACCATTCATCCCAAATCGTTACTTAAGCAAGCTTTAATAAGGAAAAGGAGGCGAAAAGGGCCGTTTTATCGACCTAAAAGATATGTCTGTAAGGAGTGTAATGTCGTGTTCAGTTCTTCGTCTTCTCTTGCAAGGCATAATCGTTGTCACGATAAACTAAAATTACGCGTCAATTGTGAAATGACAGATGATCCTCTAGATGTCGAACCTGAAACATCTGATGAGATGATTCCTGACATTAAGCATCTCGCTGATGAAAGAGATTACATTTGTCCTATGCCTAACTGTAACTATTCTTGCAAAGAAGGAGCAACTCTTCTGACTCATATGACATCTCATGGTATTAATAAGATCAAAAATCAAAATCTACCAAAATCGTCTCCGAGTCAGGTAGTCCCAAAAGTCGAAATGAAGGAATATCGATGTGATTACCACGATGTCGTGTTTTACGATAGAAGAGGGTATGGAAATCATTTGCGCACTTGTAAATTTGGAGTTCCTTTGCCGAGAGAAACACCAGAAAATAGCTCTCCTAAATATTTCTGTTGTAAGCTTTGTAACTTGAAATTTGCCAGCAAAGAAGTTCATCTAAACCATTTGAGAGTATATCATAGAGGTCCGCTTCCTGAAAATGCTCAGACTCAACAGCAGCAAATCCAGAAGGCTAGTTTTCTCGCTAGAGCTTCTCAGTTGAAAAACAGGCGACAGAACGCCTATTGTTGTAAAACTTGTGGAAAGAAATTCAATTTTCTCTATTCTCTCAATTATCATTTGAAATCCCATCAGCAAGTGACAACCTCAGCTGCACCGCAAGTTACAACATGCAAGATATGCAAAAAGTCATTTCAAACGTATAAAGTGTATAGAGTTCATATAAAATCTCACTTCCTTCCACCTGGCTCCAGAAAATTGTTTTGCAGTAAATGTTTCAAAATATTTGATACGAGAAGTGAGATTGGGCTGCATAGGTCGAGAGGCCAGTGCAAGGTGATAAACAAACTTAAAATATTTACTTGCTCAGTTTGTAATACTTCTTTCAAAGAACAGGAAGAGTTAAACAGACACAAAGAAAATGATTGCATTCCTCCATCAGCCGGCAGTTCAAATTCTCCTTGGCTGCCTACAAATGAAGAAACGAATACGTGCAACCTTTGCAATAAGAGCTTTTCCAATTTTGCAAATCTTAAACGTCATTGTATGATGGTGCATAGAATGAGCCAGCCAGCTTTCCAAACGATCGTTGTGAACTACCCAAAAGAAGACAACGAATCTGAGACAGATGTGAAAGTCACAGTTAAACAAGAAGTGGACGAAACGAAAGATGAAAATGTCCAGGACGCCCAGAGTGCCCAGAACCCTCAGAGTGAAGAAATGTTTTCATGCAATTATTGCGACAAATCCTTTAGATTGCAGAGAATCCTAACATTACATTTGAACAATTTCTGTAGAAATTCGCCCAACAGACCGAAGTGCGGTCATTGTGGGATGTTTGTTACTAAAAAAGGTTGTGAAGGCTGCGCAAAATCGAATGAGGCAGCCATGAACCAAAACGAACAATATTACATGGGCATGTCGTCAATGGGAGAACACCCTCTTCAAGCTATAGCGGGCAGTTCTTCATCGGCAGAAACTCAGTTGTATTCTTGCCCTATTGGAAAAATGTCATTTACAAACGAAAAATCAATGCTTCGACACTACAGCTACTGCAATGGTGAATGTACTAATGTAATTAATTGTAGTAATTGTGGAAAAGGTTTTAAAACTCTCAAGTTTTTAGAAACTCATACTTGCATTAAAAATAAGAAGCCTTACAGATACAACTGCATTAAATGTATGAGATCGTTTTCAAGGAAGAACTATCTTGTTAATCATGAGTCTAAATGCATAGGGTATTCGCTCGATGATGGACCACTGGATCAATCTTCTCTAGTCGATATAAAACCAAATATTACAAACTCCCCCAAACTTGATCAGACGCCTGTTTCAAGTACTACTGATGTGTTCCGTTGTGACCTTTGTCCGAAAGTGTTCCAATCTCTCAAGGGCATCGCGGGTCACAAATGGGTTCACAAGCCGAGAAACAAGCTGAACAGAGTGCAAACTTTTGAATGCAAGTTTTGTATGAAAGACAACATCATACTCAGCCAGTTGTATCCTCACAATTACAAATGTATAAGGGCGGTCTTGATGAGTCAAGATTTCACGTCTTGCCCCGATTGCGACTCTTTTTTCAGTAGGGAAGATGGATCGAAGGAATTAGCTGCAAAAGTGCAAAACCATGTTATTATGTGTTACAGAATTCCTTATTATAAAAATCAAGATCAGAGCGAAAATTCTCCCAAGTTACTTTGTTGCTACTGTGGCTATGCGTTCTCGTCTGTCGAATCGTTAACAGCTCACAAAACCGAACATATGAGGATGAAAAAGATGAAAACGATGACCCAAGTAAGACCGAGAAAGAAGATAAAAACAAACAACAGCCAGGCTTTGGGTGTGCATTTTCTCGATAACTTCATCGAGGAGGAAGTCCCGCAAGACGATGAATCTCAAATTGAGGAAGTGGACGGAGCAGAATACATGGAATATGAACAGACTGATGATTATACTGATTCTTCGATCAGCGATCAACCTTATAATTGTAGTGTTTGTAGTAGACAATTCTCGGATGTTGATAAATTGATAAACCATGAGAAAGTACACGGGATAGTACAAAAAACTATGCAAGACGAAATTGAAATGTTAAATTGAGCTGTAAATATTTGTACTATTCATTTGTTTATATTAAAAGAAAATTCTTTTTTTTTTCTGTGTGTTAAAATCTTGTATGTTGTACTACACACTCTTTGTATATACGCCATATTTTATATGATTAAAAAGGCCCATAAATTCACGCACTGGGTTTTGATCATTAGCAACATAATTAAACAGTGTATGAAGTAATATATATATATAAAGATCAATTAAATTACTTATTGTTTCATGTATATGTAGTTAATAATATATTTTGATTGTGAATTAATTCAAGAAACTACAAATATACTGTAAGACATATATTAAAAAATAAACATTTTGTTATTATTTTACTTTTAAAAGAAATATGTATCCTATTGAAATGAATTTACTTATCCCAATTCTATAAAATATATCCTTTTATTTTTGTTTTGTATCGGAAACATTTTTATTTTTAAATAAATTAAAATATAAATTTTATACTAAAATTATTTTAAAATGTTACTTTACCTCAAATAATACTTGATGCTGGCGTCACAATTATCGTGATAATCGATCCGCTAAGAGATTGAACAATTGCAAATCCATCTTTTTTTTTCCCCCTTTCATCCGTTCAGAATTCCATGATCATACCAAGGATGAAAAAATATGAATAAAATATCTGAAGGCTCATGATGTAGATAACAGTCGCGGTGAATACGATCGAACCGAGAGGGGTGTCGGGCCACGTCTCTACCTCTTCGCTCACTAGATAATAGACTTCGTGCATAAATTGAAAAATGAATATAGTGCTCTGAAAAAAGATAAGTGGTGTTAAACCGCGACGGTTATAGATACGAGACGAAAATAATGCGATTACACGTACGATTGAGCAAGCGATTGCCAGGAATAATAAGAGTATAATAAATAAAATTGGAGCGTGGAAAAAAAGACCTATTATCGAGTATACCATTGCGTATACAACAAGCACAGAGTAGACAATTAAAAATAGTATAGCATGGAATAGTATGGGACACTGTAAAATTAAAAAAAAAAAAAATTAGAATATTAAACCTTCCAATTTCTAAAATGGTGTTTGAAATAAATAGTACAATATATTGAGAAAAAGTAAAAACTGTTTAAAATTTGTATAATCTTATATATTCCGCAAAAAGCTTAAAACTTTTTGTGTTGTTTTATTAAGGCTAATATAACAGGCTTCACATTTAAATTATCACGATATGCATTAATTGCAATTATATGTCAAACGTTCAATTATAGAAGCTCTGTTAATTGGGACTATCACAATTTAAGGCATTTTTATGTAAATAAAAAAGCTCTTCCTTTTAGAAACAGTTTTTTGAGATTCATAAAAACTTAAGAATTGAGAAAATATTAATGAATATATATCAGAATTGAATCCAGTATTTATTAGCGTGAATGTGTAGTGTGAAAGGTCAATGGTGGAATATTGAGTACCTCATTGACCCTCAATTAGGTTATTTATGTATAGATGTAAAGGTGATGAAGGAATATTGAGTACTCCACACCCTGAGAGAATGGGATGTAAATAGAAAATGTTTTTTAAGAGTGAGTGAGAGTGTGAATAGATTTGGATCTAGAGACTGATGAGCCCATCCTTAGAGCAGGATGGACAAGCAAGCCTAAGGTCTGACTTCAGACTAGCAACCCTGGGTGGGTGATTCATGAGGCCTGCCATTTATTTTAAATCACACAAAAACTGGAATTGCCGGTGGATTGTGAGAAGTGATAGGCTGAATTCTATATACACATGTATTTACATGCACGAGCATATTGGAGCATAAATCTGCAATCGATAACACTAAGCTCTTCAAGCCTGCGAAATCAATTCCAAACTAGTCGGGAACTGTGTAACCTAAAACCTGGGAACTGTCTCTAAGGTAGATTCCAGGTTATGATGGAATTTCAGAAAATATCTGAAGAAATATGGCAGATAATATCCTAACAAACTAGAAAGGGACCTTCGGAACAACTCATAACTACAGATCCAATTGTGGCATAAATTATTCTCACGGAGAAAAATAAACAAATAAAATCTTGTGTTATTAAAGAACACAACAAATACTGATAATGTAATCTGGATATAAGCCTGCTTGCAAAAACAACCCAGTGGGATAAAGAGGAAATCTTACTCAAAGAAAGAACTAAAAAAGCTTCAGTAAAATACCACTTTAAAAAATGATAGCATTTCTTAAGGAATGTGAGACAAAAGAGCATAACCTATGCAACAGCCCTGAAATAGCTATAAAAAGGCTATGAATTCTATGAAAGCCATTCTTGAGCAATGTAGACCTCGATACAAAACTCCTGATGGAATTCTGTACTTCATTAATTAGCTCAGTTTGAACAGTATAAGCAAAAGTTTTAACTGGAAAACCCTACACTGTGCAGATTTGAACTTATAAAAAACAGTACTGAGCACTGCTTGCACTAATTATTTTTTGCTTTTATAAATCATAGATGAGAAAAATATCTCTGATCATCGTTGAATACCTAGGCCTTACTAGTTTTGCCTGATAGACAACTAGCAAAGATTTAGATTAATCGTAATCTAATCGATTAATTGTATTATATATTGTATAACTGTGAAAATACGCCTTTTGTTTCAATGGCAACAAAGACCCCACCCGCTACTCTGAGCTTTTTGACTCGTTTCGCAATTTCGCATCCCCCTTTGTTTACATTTTTTGGTCTTCTGGGCCGGATTATTACAGGAACATTACCAAACTATCGTTTATTCAAAAGGTAAAAATTTGTTAATATATCAATAGTAAGTGCTATAACATATTTCTTTCTCAAATAATGAATATATTACTTGTATGATTTTTGAAGTAATGTATAAAAGTATCAAGGTGATAAAGACTAGCAGGAAAGCGAACAGGGTGACAATAAGATCGTGCCTGGTCGTAAGTGACGCTGTTCTTATTGACGATAAAACCACCTACAAACAGTCAGATTGAAATTATCACGTTAAAATATAGACGTGTAGTTTACCAATGATAAATGCATTATTATGTTCAGGGGGCAACAGTTCCTCATTTTCCTTGATAAAATAATTCCACTGCTCAGTAATATTATTGGCACACTAAAATCAATTTTTATACACACAGTTATATCTTGATGTTTTTATGTTAATACTGTTTTTAACACACAAAATTGTGTATGGAGTATAGGAGAATTATATTTATACATTCCAAAACTTACGAAATCGCAAGAGAATAAAGGCTTAAAGCAAAGTTGAAAAGTGCTTCTTTTATGTCATCTCTGAAAAAAGGTTGAATTCATTGTCATATCTGCCCGTTTTAACACATTTGATTCAATTTCTTACTTTATATTAAGCAAAACAGTCACACAAACTGTAAACAATGATTGAGAGACAACAAATATGAACAGTTTCACCAGATACAGTTTCACATTTTTAAGAGTCTGCTTGTCTAAAGACTTTCCAAGTTCTGGATTGACAGAGTAGTGCCTTGAAATACAATTTTGCTTAGTTTCTTTTATGGACTTAATATTCAATAATTTAGTAGTACTTAGGGAAAATGCTTGTAATTCTCCTTCTCATCGCTGATTGGGTTCACATAAAACAATGTTTATTTGGAATAACAATGTTTGTGAAAGTGAAGTTTATCAGCTGGCTCTGAAAAATGTATGTGTTTGTATCAAATATTATAATACTAATGTTAATTTAAAAAGATTTTCATTTAAAGCAAACACGTATAAATATGTCCATCCTCAGAATTTCAAAATAGTTACATAAATGGCAAAATTTCACAAAACATACAAAGTATAAAACGAGCGTGCTCTTGGGGAGATATTCTGAAGTGGAACGTTGGGCAAAATGGCAGTGACTGTGGAGACGGAGAGTTCGAAAAGGCGGACGAGGCAGCTAAGAACAGGATTTTGCACCTGGCCGACTGATCCAAACTTCTGACACTAGAAATGCAATAAAAACTATGATTAAAAGGAAAAGGTCTGTGGGATCAGCATACAATCTCCTATGTATCAAGAACCCAGTTGATAATGGCATTCGAAGGATCTGGGTCTTAAAAGAGGGATTATCCTCACCCGTTTAAGAATAGGCCATGCAAGGTTAACACACGAACACATACTTTTGGGCCAATGTGTCCGACTTATAAAAAAAAGTAGCTCGATGTGTCTCACATGAATAGTAGACATAACTTAGCTACTCATAGAAAGCATGTACGAATGGCAGAAAATATGTGAATTGTGCTCGAGCACGGTAGTGAATATTTGGGTCCCCTGTTCTGACTTTTGGATGAAACAGGGCTTTTTTTTATTGTATATAGTGCTTGGTAGATATCTCATTTCGTTCTTATTGATTGTGAATGCATTTATTAGCGTGAATGTGTAGTGTGATTATTGTGGAATATTGAGTACCTTCTCATCAATTAGCCTGGTGTTATGGTAGTGGTAAATGGTGGTGGAATAATATCGAATACTACATGTGAATGAATGTTATTTAAATAGGAAAGAATGCATTTAAGAGTGAGTGAGAGTATATCTAGGTTAAAAATTGCTTGTGTTGGAGGCTGAAATGATCTTTATTTTGATAACCCCTGGAGGTTAACTTTGATGGAAAGATGAATACGAGCCAGATCTGACCCCCGGACTGCCAAAACACTTGGCGATTCTCTTGCGGCAGACTCTGGTCTTAAGTTGAATTCTGTACTTGGAGTTGAGCTTATATAAATGAATAAATAAATTCCACATATAAACAAATGAGAATTATGAGAGTTGCTGATCTCAAACCTATTAACTGTTCAAAATGAATACAGTAAAATTTGCTTTCACTAGGACTTGTGGCAAACCAGACAAGTGTAAATTTTACTTACTAATTTTTTAATACAAAAATATAAAAATTCACCACTTGATCAAAACAATTACAACTTTTATAAGATATTACTCACACAATAAAAAGAGGGTACAGAAAATTTCAATGGTCTGCATGAACTGTCCATAAGTCTTTAAAGTCTTTATGTAGATGGTATGGATAGCTTTTACCTGTTGGGTTTGGCATGTAAAGGAATTTAAAAATAAAATGAGTTAATAACTTACTAATAAAATTACTAAAAAAAACCAAAACCAGGGTAATTTCTGTCATACGGGCCATTGCCCAATTACGCATTGGGTTGGTTGAGGGTTAAATAATTTTAAAATTCTTTTTCAAATTGTTATCAATTAAAATTTCAAGGGATATATTGGGATTTGAACCAAGAACCATTTGAAACCAAGATGTGGCAAATCTGAGTTAACGACTCCACAACTGTGCCCCCCCCCCCCATAAAATGCATTAACAATTAAAATTAAACAAAACCAACCATGTTTAAAAAGTTTAACATCAAACCATTTGTGATAATTTTGATTTTTATGTAAGTATATTTTTTGTTTAAAGAACAATTTCGTGTGGTTTTTTTAAAAAGTAAATTCATTACTTATTTAAACATTTATTTGGATGTTCAGAAATTTACAGCAATCAGAATCTTTTTAAAAAATTATTACATTTTTCATTATATACATAGTTTCTTTTAAAAGATATATGACCATTTTGCGACTAGCCGCATGGCCAAGATGGAAGAAAGTTACCTGATTGATTCCCTAATTAAATATCCTAATTTCCTGATTGAGTTAACATTCCATTAAAAGAAACTGTATGTAATGAAAAATTCAATAAATTTGTAAAAAGTTGCTGATGGTTAAATTTCTGAAACGAAAAAAAAAAAAACTACCTGCAAGTATATTTATAGAAATATCTGTTCATTGCCTATGAAAAGCCTTTCAAATGAACAAGATTCGCCTACAAAGAATGAATAAATTACGACTCTCCCACGAGAAATTGTACAATAGAAAATATTCTAGTAAACACGAAAATAAGTCTTATATATTTCAATATATTTGAGGTATTAAATTGTAATTCAAAACTCAGTATTGTAACAGTCTTTAAACCAAGAGTATCCACTCTTTTGGGTTTTCTACATCAGCAAAAGTTTATAGTTGAACATTGCAAAGCAGTTAAATTTTTTCTAATTGAAACCACTGGAAGAATTTTTAGAATAGATAGAATAGAAGAATTTTAAATAGATTGTTTTATCCTACATTGATTTATTGTAAAACATTTATTTATTTACCACTATATATAATTTTATAACCGTTGTAATTTGATATGCTTAATATGTATTTTTCGACAATTGTAATACCTAATTTATGGTTGCTAAAAATAAAATCTCTCTCTCTCTCTCTCTCTCTCTCTCTCTCTCTCTCTCTCTCTCTCTCTCTCTCTCTCTCTCTCTCTCTCTCGCTCTCTCTCTCTCCACTGGTATTACTAATTTAATAACTACTTGCTTTAGCGATTTTTGTTTGGTTGAAGAGATTGTGGGCTTTTTGTTTAAATAATTCCCCCCCCACAATCTCTGACATTTTTGTTTTAAAAATCACATGGCTCAACTCTACTACCCTACCAAAGGATGGTGTAGTGACTTGGAACGCTTTCACTGTTAAGATTTATATCTGCTTTCTAAGTTATCAAATGTAAATTGTTTTATAAAATGAATTAATCTATTTATTATAAATACTTGAATATGAAAAGAAAAGAAAGCTGTTCGACATATTTTGGGAAATTGCACCTGTGTGGTTTTATGGACATTCAATTCTCAGTGATTCATCAGATGTATGCTAATTTTATTTTAACACTTTTGATATTCAAATATGCAATTTAAAAAAAGAATCATTGTTTTCAGGTAGACAATGGAAGTTTTTAAAATGATTATTCAATTGAAATATTCTAATTTTTTGTTTTTATTTATTTAATGTTAACTATTTTTAATTCTTAGATGCTGTTTTGTTAAACAGATTTAAGAATCATGTGCTTTTATCTTGTTGATCTCGTTGCAACTTTTACTACACTTCTTTTTCATATTTCAGCTTTGTTAATATTGCATTTACAATTTTAAACCGATTAAAATGTAAATTTTTAGGGATGGTTCAGGTTCTATTTCTGTTATGATAGTGTAGTGGGACTGTTTCAAAATTTTAGATTTAAGCTTATAGCTCTTCTATAAAATGGAAGACGATGACGATACAAGTTCGACATCAAGTTTATATAGCGAAGAAAGATTTTTGTATATTAGAAATGAGTTTTTTTCAAAAGTGTACGCCTTGTTACTTATTCAAGTAATTACCTCCGCTGTCTTCATCTTGGGCTTGAACATAAAGTATAATCTTTTTTTGCAGCGTAAAATTTATAACCTAATGAATAGAAAATTTTCACAATTTTAAAATAAATGTTTTAGTTTGGATGTAAAGAAACTATTATTTGAATGGTTCTACCTTGGGCCAATTTTTGGGTAATTCGATCAACAATCATTCATTATTGAACGATTAAAGTCAGTATAATTTTTTTTGGCTTGTTTCAGAATGTTATCATTTATTTCTTTTGTACTATTAATGTTTGTTGCCCGATTGAGAAATTTGCACCCATTCAATATACTTGTTACATTTCTCTTGGTTCGTATTTTTTTTTAAATTTTTAATTTGTTTAAAATGCTATTAAAACTATTTAAAACAATATGGTATTTAAAAGATTATTGTGATTAGTAAAGCTTTTCATTGTTTTTATAGGACAAAATGTCTATACTTAAAAAAATGGCCAAATTTGCAAATTAATCTTCAAATAAACCTTCGTTCATATTATATGAATGGGGTGTCATAACATTAAATTCTCAGAAGAGAAATAAATTTGATAAATGCCTCACGTGCTGAATTATTAATATTAAATGACTCATAATTAATTTTTTTAAAATTAACATTAAGTTTTTATTAATTGAATTAATTCATTTGGACAATTATGACCTGCTAAGCATGGATTAAGCTTTCTTCAAATCCCGCTCATGACACTAGCTTTTTCTTCTCAACCAAAACAGATAAAAAGTATAATCAATTGAAATAGTTAAATATGACTGCTAAACATATAAGGATTAAGTTTATCTTATAATTTAATATTCCTTTTTTTTTTAAATCTTGGGACCATATACTTACCAATTTTGTCATTTCAGACTTCTTCCTGTGGGGGCTTTGCTGGAATTCAAGCAGCACAAGATCAGTTTCATTTTATATGGTGTGGATTTGGTAGCAGTGTAATTATTTTCTTCATTTTGTCTGTGGTCAGCTATTTTTTTTCCAACATTGAGGTATTAATTAAAACTATCTTAGCAAAAAAAAAAAAAAAAAAAAAAAAAACCACAAGTCACACTTATAACGCACACAAACAGAACATCTATAGTCATCATGTATGGGAAATAACAAACAACTCATACATTATAAGTAAATTTTCAGGATTCTGTCGTGATATACAATGTCCTCGTTGGATCTATAGCTCTCGTCGCCATCGGTGGAATCGCAATTTCTATACCAATATTACTTAGCATCGAATGTACCATTGTCTCATTCACATTTTCTGTTACAGCTTGCATTATATCTGCATGTGTATGTATGAAAGCTGCTGGTGTACCGTTGTCCATTTGTTTTTTGTTTTTTTAAACAGTGAATTATTTTCAGGCGTATCTTTATATTTCGGGTGTTTACATATCAAAGTTTCAAAATGTCGACGTTTATGAGCCTGAATTTGAGAAAAAATTCACCGAGAAATACATATTCGCGTCGAATTTGTTGTACACGACGATATTCTTGTTTTATACACATTTTATGGGAATCTTAGCATACGTACTGCGGACCTGAAGATTTGTTTCATAAATTTTCAGGAAATGTAATCAAGTTAGTATGTTGACGTGATTGATATCAGCCTTAAATATTATAATTTTACAAACAATTCAGGGCTAAAAGGAATTTGAAAGAAAGAAAGACACTTCCTTTTTCAAGTTTTTGAGAAAAATATCTGGTTCTTCAAGATAACGAAATTATTTCTAATAATTTACATGGTTAAAAAATATAAACAAATATTTACAATATTAAAAATTATTGCAATTCATTCAATCATAATGAATTCATGAGGTTAGCTTATTAAAGTGCTACCATCCACCCATTCTCAATTTTAATCATTTGTAAAATAGTTGGGTGGTAGATCATGGGTTTGAGAATGAAAATGTAATATATATGTGATAAAAATAATAAAAAAATGACCACAACGTAAAAAAAAGTTGGAATATTATTCAGAAACATATTTTTGCAAGGTAAAAATTTAATATGTATTATTTAATCATAAGTATTTATTTTTTGTATATCCTTTCCTAAATACTTTCCGGTTTAAAATGAAAATGTCTAAAAATATTGTTGTGTTAGTCCAGTGGATGGCAAACTCGTCATCCAAAAATATAAACAAAATACAAAATTGAAGTTTATTCAGAGCCATTTTTTAAACTTGAGCTTTGCTTTAGTAGACATTTTTATGGAAATAATTAGAATTAAAAGTACACTCTCGAGCTTGCCTTTGCTGAATATGTCTTCGTTTAATTAACGGCACATTAAATAAAACTTGGTATCATTCTTATATAAAGATAATATTTATTTAAAAATATAACGAGTTAAATAATATAAAAGGTATCGTTAAAAAAACTACAAATATTCCACTAATGAGAACAATGGCCTTGCATTTCCCTGGAAAGTTGGTTAAGTCAGGTTTGTATGCTGTTTTTAATTTTAGGCACGATTCCAAGTTCTCATCGATAAGCCGATTTCTTAATCTTCTCTTGATAAAGTTCATGCTTGAAAATGATTGTTCGCATAAATAATAATAATAATAATAATAATAAGGAAAAAAAAGACAATTTAGATTTTAAAGCATTTAAGGCCATTGATCTTGGATCCGTCTGCCAGAGGTTGTTGATTAAACAGTCAAAAACGAAAAAATACACAATAAAATAAAATAAAAGTTATAGCCTACGCATAAAAAAAGAAAAAAAAGGAGAAACAACAACTGCCAAAATGCGAAAGGGAACAAAAAAACAGGTTATACAAAAGAAATCAAAAATTAAACTCATTAATGAATTCATATCTGTAATTCCATGCATGCCTAGCGTATCGAATTAAGGGCCGCGAATTTGAGCCACTCAAAAACCGTAACAGGTCAACCCTGGGGAGAGTGAAACATCTGAGGTGCAACAACCGAATCTCACCCAGGACTGAGCACTGTGCCAAGAAGTGGGATACAGTTTCAATAGAGCGCGAATTTCACAAAGAACAGATTCCTAATTCCCCTCTGATCCAAACAGCCGAGTTTAAGTGCAAAACCTCACTTCTTAGCTTAAATAGCCATCGCAACTCATTGAGACAAAGACCGTCAAAATTATCTTCATGTACGTCGAACAATGCAGGAGAAATTTGTACCTCCTTGAGATGTGTGAGATGCGTAGATGCTTGGACATGTGACCGGCATTCTTCGTGATGTTGTTTATTAATTTGATTAATAATAATTGAAAAATGATTATGCCAGTCACAGAGGTATCTAAGGATATGAGGTAGGGGAAGTTGTACTTTTCAAACAAATATTTCCAGTGAGCGAATCATGAAATATTAGTCTTTATGACCGCCAACGATGTTATTTTTGTGTATCTGGTATCGGGAGACATCAGAACTTTCACTATATAGGAGTAGTGAAGCTTAAGTGTATACACCAAAATTAAATCCAAGTTGGTTTCTAAATATAATATATAGTTTGGTGTACCAGATGGCAATGTGAACAACTTTCTTACAAAAAAAAGTTGCACTTTTTCTATTGCTTCAAACCTTTGGTATCCCCACATTTGACAGCCATAGCACAGAATTGCAGGACTTATCACTTTAAAAACATTATACTTGACTATAATAGGGATAGTTTCTTTGAGTAGGAAGGCTGACCATGTGTTATTTAGACCTAATTTAGCCACTGACGCTTTCCAAGAGAAGTGCTTTGTCCTAGAGAGTCTCGGAGTAAATATGACTCCTAAATATTTATATTCATTTACAATCTCGATGAGATAGCCCCTAAAAAAAAGTGATCCAGAGAACTCAACCTACCCCCTCTCCTAAACACCATGATTTTCAACTTCTCTAAATTAACTATGAGGTTCCTCTGTTCACAGTAATATTCAAATAGTTTGATATTTCTTAAAAAAAAAAAAAAAATGTTCGCATAAATATGTAAACCCAAATAAGGAAAGAACAGCAAACGCTACTTTCTTCAGTTGATCATCATCATCCAGGTGTTAAAAATAAACATATCTTCCCTCGCTAGATCTTTCAAAGCAGACCATTTGTGCTGTAAACTTAATTCACATTTATTTTTCACCAATAGCTGTAAATCGGTATAAAGAAGCTTGAATTTTAAGCTCAAAATTCTTTATTTGTTAATTCAGCAACTGCATTTCAAAGCTGCCAATATCAATATTAAAGGGCAAAAAATTAATTTATGTTACCGTGGCATTCAGAGGTTTTTTTCGTGCCCATGAGAATGGTAGGAATGAAATAAACCTTTTTTTATTACTATTTCAGGAGTTGAGTCGGACGAAGAAAGTTCATTTTTAGCAATATATTTTTTGTGTCAGATGTAAAGTTTTTTAGTTCTTCAATACAACCACTAGTGTAAAGTGTAGGATATAAAATATTCAATTTCTTTGCATACTCATTGAAAGAAATATCTTGAATATTTTTTTCCTGCTTTAAGGGGCATAAATTCAAATCAACATACATGTAACATGTTTCAAAACCGGCGTCCTTGGTTTTTATTTGGGTGTTTGATCAGATAAGAGGGAGACAAACAATAGGATGTCTCTTTTAATAAGGGGAAAAATTGAATGCAATAATCTCAAATGTTGACCGCCAGGCAGGTAGATAACACAAGTGGGCAACACTTGATTACACCCAAAGAAACAAAAAAGGTGTTTGCTGTTTTAATTTTCTACAATATATTAATGTAATAGTCTGTTTGATTTCACTGTTGAAATATGACTCAGGAATTTTATCTGTCAAACAATTTTGTTTAAGTTTTTCAAAAAATAATTCTTTTCAATTATTATTTTCTAAACACAGATTGTAATGTTTATTTTATTATCTAAATAATGTTAAAACAATTCATTAAAGATTAATTTTATTTAAAGCATCTCTGCCAGAGGAGTATTATACAAAAAAATTCAGATGTTCCAAAATCTCTCAGATTAATTACCAACAGAATCCTTGGTTTTTGTGTGATTGTAAATTACATCAAGAACTGGATAAAATATAGATAATCTCATAAAGGATACTTATATAAAATTCTGAAGCAGACTAGAACTGTTGGAAGTAGTCATGAAATATAAACCCTCCTGGTGTACTCCGTCTCCCTTTAGCCAAGGTTTAACTTGGATTATAATTTATTTATTTAGTTCTACATGCCAGACATGTAGGTTTTGTAAAATATAAGTGTCTGTATGTCAACCTTGCATGGCCTATCCTTAATCGAGTGAGGTCTTCTGTGTCAGATCCTTCGAGGCCCACTTATTGACAGCTCTTGAAACATGAGAGCTTCCAATCCAGCCCACCAACGCTGTCACATTCTAATTATTTTTAAAATATGTCGTGTCATATTTGTAATTTTTAAATTTAAGCTTTTAGCTATTGCAATATTTTATGTAACTCCCTATAAATAAATAATATATATAATAATGTGTGTAATATTGGGCAAATACATATAATATTTGAGGATTTGAAAGCGAAATAAAAAATGTAAGAAAGGTCAATATTTAAATACGCCAAAAATGTGAATTGTTACAAACTCATTATTTTGTTTATTTTTAGATCTGTGAAATATAAGGCAAAGGCAAGATTTTTGGCTGTCGTTTGAATGATGCCCATAAAGTTTCGTTGTTCTCAGGCAATCTTAAATAACTTTCCTACTTGGAGAAACGATGTTAAATTTGTTTTCCCCTGGTTTATAGAGGCCTTCCTTTCCATCAGCCAACCACTTCTCCATAGTAGATTGAATCAAAATCAATTGACAAAGAAATAACCAAATAAATAATCTTTGTTCAAAGTTATATTTAAAAGAAAATATGATAAAGAAGACAATCAGTATGTTTAAAATTTGGTGAAATTTTTGCAAACAATATAAGTAAGAATTCCATATATGCTAAATAAATGATAAATATTTAAGGGCTATATTAGCGTTTAATCAACATTTTAAAAACAAAATTCATTTTTTAAATAGAAAAAATTAAATATATAACTAAGCACATTTACAGCCTTCTCTAGAAGTTACAGCATGATAGACAATATAAAATATTTTAAAATCTAATCAGAAAAATCCATAAACAATAAAGCATAAATAATATAAAATTGTTGAAAGGAAATTATACAAGTAAAAATGGAAAATAAAAATTAAAAATTTTAAATGCAAATAGTGTTTGTGTTGTATTTAAATTAATTTATTGGAATTAATGTTATTTATTAGCGAGAATGGAGTGAGTTCGACCTCGCAATGAGGAATTTCGAGTACTCTGTGGCAGTGGATGTGACTTCATGTTTGCATCGGGTGTTGTGTTTATGTTAATTTGTTGGAATGAATGTAATTTATTAGCGAGAATGGAGTGGGTTCAACCCCGCGCCGAGGAATATCAAATACTCTGGGGTGATTGTTTGACGTCTGGGGAGTAAAAGTCATTTATTAGCGAGAATGGAGTGGGTTCAACCCCGCCCCGAGGAATATCGAGTACTTTGGGGTGAGTGGGTGACGTCTGGAGAGTAAAAGTAATTTATTAGCGTGAAAAGAAGGGGTTATATATAACCCCGCCCCGAGGAATATCAAGTACTCTGGGGTGAGGGTTTGACGTCTGGGGAGTAAAAATCATTTATTAGCGAGAATGGAGTGGGTTCAACCCCCCCCCGGAGGAATAACGAGAACTTTGGGGGAGTGAATGCGACCAGCTTTCTATACTTGTGATATAAATTTATTAGCGATA